TATATCAGATAGAAATAATAATCGTGTGATGAAATGGAGAAAAGATGCAAAAGAAGGAATAGTTGTGGCTGGAGGAAATGGTCAAGGAAAAGATCTCAATCAGTTGTCTTATCCTCGAGGAGTAATTGTTGATGATTTGGGTCAAATCTATGTGGCAGATTGGGGGAATCATCGAATAATGCGTTGGTGTGATGGAGAAGAAGAAGGTGAAATTGTTGTTGGGGGAAATGGAAAAGGAAATCAACCAAATCAATTGAATAATCCTTATGGTTTATCTTTTGATAACGACGGCAATCTTTATATTGTTGATGGTTGGAATCATCGAATTCAAAAATTCGATATCGTTTTGTAATTGAAGTTTTAATTTTGTAGACAAGAAAACAAAATTTTTGTTAAAATAAAAAATGACAAAATAAAAACATAAAAATGTGAAGTTATATTGTTGAAAATTAATGAAAAAAATCGGATAAATATCGAAGGAAAAGGATTTTTGATAAGAAAAGAATAAAAAAAAATCTTTTTTCTAGAATGTAAGTGTGGATAAATATAACATGAACCTAACCGTACTCAGACCCTTTTCATCATTACCCAAAACTTCTTTTACTTCTGGTTTAATTTTATCACCTAAATCTCCATCATCAAAACTTCCACCTGACTTTTGTTCATTGACAATACCTTCTTTAACTAAGACAGAAAATGTGACATGTTCATCTCGTTTATTATCAATAAACCAAGGGCGTTTAAATATAAATCTATTACGAAAATTAGATCAATTATCAATTAAATACTTTCTTTCTATTTTTTTTTCTTTATTTAGCATCATTGTCTCCTCTTGAATTAACAAATAAATTACAAAAATCTTCTTTAAATAATAAAAATTGTGAAGTTTGTTCTGATTCAAATGCAAATGATTGTGTAAAGCATAGACACTGTTCAGTCAAGAACGCATTGTATCAGTAGCGTATGTATATCTATTATGTATCGATACAAATGTTCGCCGTTGAAGTGCTTCCAGGAAATGATTTTATCGCAATTTTTTTCATGTCTTTATTTTCTGAGTATTATTTGATACGGAGTTAAATAAATTTATTAGAAAGATAAAATATTTAGTTTATATTAACAAAGAAACACATTCAAGATAATAGTATGATTTCATATTTACTAGTAAACTGGTTATACCCGTCTAAGTAAATAGTTAGTCAGTTACATACACTTGTGTGTGCATAATCGACTAGCCATACACACGTGTGTAAATAAACACTTTCTTATGTGTATATCTAAAACAGTAGATAAACAAATATTTATTTCTTTTATTAACTTTTATTCTAACACATGGCAATGGCAAACAATAAAAGAAAATGTTTGACATCTGACAAAGAAAACAATACATATCTTTGTGAATGTTGTTCAAAAGGATTTTGTTCTAGACATATACCAGAACATCAACAAAGATTGAATGAAGAACTGCATCATATTATTAATGATTATAATGAATTCAAAGAAAGAATTAATGAACGAAAACAAAATCCTGAAAATCATTTATTAATAAAACAAATTGATCAATGGGCAAGAATTTTAATCGAGAAAATTCAACAAAAAGCAAAAGATTGTAGAGAAGTTGTCATTCAATCATTACAAACATGTATTAATGATATTGAAAAGAAATTTAATGATTTAAATGAACAAATACAACACCTTCAAAAAGCAAATGACTTTAACGAAATTAATTTAAATTATTTAAAAGATCAATTAACAGGAATAACACAAGAATTAAATAATCCATCAAACATCTCTATTGAACAAGATTCACAATCATTAATTAATGATATTTCAATTATTTTATCAAAAAGTAAGTTTTCAAGAAATAGTTTCTAAAAGAAACATACTCATTTTTGATGAAATTATATTGAAAAACTGCAACACGATGAAAAATAATGATGAAGAAGAGAAAAAAA